TTTAAGGGGCAGTTAGTATTCTGGTTTAAAATCTAAACATTTAAGTCAGACCTAGGTTGAATTCTGGTTGAATTCCAAGCCAGACTCTGCCACTTCTTAGCCATGTGAGCATGGGCAAGAAAGCAAGGACAAAAATGGTAAAACTCAGGCTTGGTACCCATAGCACAGTAGTTACTGTGCTGGCCACATACATCAAGGCTGGTGGGTTCGGACCCAGCTTGGGCCAGCTAAACAATGAGAACTACAACACCACCAACAACAACAAAATAGCCAGGCATTGTGGCAGGCGCCTATAGTCCCAGCTACTTGGGAGGCTGAGCCAAGAGGATCTCTTAAGCCCAAGAATTTGAGGTTGCTGTGAGCTGTGACACCACAGCACCCTACCAAGGGCAACACAGTGAGACTCTGTCTCAAAAAAAAAATTTATAAAACTCAGCCTCCTAGAGTTGTTTAAACTACATATGTATATGAATTGCTCAGCAGAATTCCAGATAATTGTAAGTGTTCAATAACTCTTAAGATTGTAAGAGAGAGTCCCCTCTGAACTCAACTCTACTCATCTACAAATAGGTTTTATAGAAATGCTCCTGTGAAAATGAGTTTATCTAACTCAGGAAAGAAAAGCATAAATAATTTCTACAGTTAAACATACTATTAGAAAATGCTATATGGCTCAGTGCCTGTGGCTCACGTAGCTAAGGTGCCAGCCACATACACCTAAGGTAGTGGGTTCAAATCCAGCCTGGGCCCGCCAAACAACGACGGCTGCAACCAAAAAATAGCCGGGCATTGTGGCGGACGCCTGTAGTCCCAGCTACTTGGGAGGCTGAGGCAGGAGACTAGCTTGAGTCCAGGAGTTGGGGGTTGCTATGAGCTGTGATGCCACAGCACTCTACCCAGGGGGACAGCTTGAGGCTCTGTCTCAAAAAATAAAAATGCTATTACAAAGTCTCTTAGTAAAAACAACAAGAAAACCATCAAATAAAAGGCCAGTGACAGAGATTGGAAAGAAGGAAAAGTGGATGAAATTATTAGAAAGACTAGTTGGGAAATTTCCCATACAAAAAGGAGGCTGAACAAAACTCACAAAATATTAAGGTCAAAAAACTCTAAAGGTGGCCAGGTATGGTGGCTCATGCCTGTAATCCTAGCACTCTAAGAGGTAGAGGGGGAGGACTGCTGAAACTCAGGAATTCCAGACCAGCCTGAGCAAGAGCAAGGCCTGTCTCTACTAAAAATAGAAAAATGAGCCAGCCATTGTGATGGGTGCCTGTAGCCCCCGGTACTTCGGAGCCTGAGGCAGGAGGATCATTTGAGCCCAGGAGTTTAAGGTTACTATCAGCTAGGCTGATGTTGTGGCATTCCAATCTAGGGCAACAGAGTGAGACTGTCTCAAAAAAATTCCCCCAAAACAAAAAAAACTCAAAAGGCAAAGACAGAAGAACAAAGCCCAGGTCACACTTATTTTTCTGCTTTCCTCTGGCATAAGGGGGTAAGGACTAAGGATATCTTTGGCTTCCATGCTCACACCCGTCCTCTCAGGAAGAGAGAGCGAAACACAGACAGTTGGCCCTCTGTACCTGTGGGTCCTACGTTCATAGATTTGATCAACCATGTATCAAAACTTCAGGGTAAAAGGGCTAGACATGGTGGCTCACGCCTATAATCCTAGCATTCTGGAAGGCCAAGACAGGTAGATAGCTTGAGCTCAGGAGTTTGAGACCATCCTGAACAACAGTGAGACCCCATCTCTACCAAAAATAGAAAAACTAGCCTTAGCATTGTGGCGAGCACCTGTAGTCCCAGCTACTCAGAAGCCTGAGACAAGAGGATCACTTTAGTACAAGAGTTAGAGGTTGTTGTGAGCTATGATGAAGTCATGGCACTCTACCAAAGGCCAAGGAATGAGACTCTGTCTCAAAAAGGAAAAAAAAAAATTAGGGAAAAAAATGCATGGTTGTGTCTGTATTGAACATGTATGGACTTTTTTTCCTTGTCATTATTCCAACAACATAGTATAACAACTATTTACATAGCATTTACATTGTGTTAGATATAAGTAAGTAATTTACAGGTAATTTAAAGTATATGAGAGGGCCAGGCATGGTAGCTCATGCCTATAATCCTACAACTCTGAGAGGCCTAGGTAGGTGGACTTGAGCCAGGAGTCTGAGACCAGCCTGAGCAAAAGCAAGACCCCGTCTCTACTAAAAATAGAAAACAAACGAACAAACAACAACAACAAAAACCTAGCCAGGCATTACAGTGGGAGACTGTAGTTCCAGCTACTTGGAAGGCTTGAGCCCAGGAGTTTGAGGTTGCTATGAGCTATGACACAACAGCACTCTCCAGAAAGCAACAAAATGAGACTCGTTCTAAAAACTAATAATAAATAAAGTACACAAGAGGATGTGCAAAGTCTACATGTAAATAGTAAATACTATACCATTTTTTCTTTTTTGGGGGTGGGACAGAGTCTTACTATGTCACCCTCAGTAGAGTGCTGTGGAGTCACAGCTCACAGCAACCTCAAACTCTTGGGCTCAAGTGATTCTCTTGCCTCAGCTGGGACTACAGGCACCCACCACAATGTCAAGCTATATTTTTGTTGTAGTTGTCATTGTTATTTAGCAAGCCCAGCCCAGATTCAAACCCGCCTACCCTGATGTATGTGGCCAGCACCCTAGCCACTGATCTATGGGAGCTGAATCTACTATATCATTTTATATAAGGGATCTGAGCATCCATGGATGTTGGTATCCACAGGGTCCTGGAAAAACTAAAAATTTCCACTAAAATCACCACCATAAGAATGATTCCTACATCTTAGCTTCATCTTTAACCAGCTTACCAGGTATTATAGTTTAATACCTCTAATAACTGCAGAAGAATAAATATTCACAACAATAAACAAACTTACCATCATCCTTTTGCTGCACATGAACAACTCTCTGGAAACTGGCACTCACTGCACTGTACACATCCAATGCAGCAGCTTTCTTTGCAATCTGTCGTTTCAACAAATCTGGCAAACCACTCATTAGGAAGTCACGTTTTGCTTTAAATTGTATGTCACAATCCTGAGATTTTTCAGATGTATCTTGACTTTTAAGAAAATAGTTGGAAACAAAAGCTATGGTTATAAACACTTAAAAGGATAAACTAGGGGAAAAAGACACTTTTCAGTTTGTTTATTTATTTTGAGACATAGTCTCACTTTGTTGCCTCGGTAGAGTGCTGTGGCATCATAGCTCACAGCAACTTCAGACTCCTGGGTTCAAGCGATTCTCTTGCCTTAGCTCTTGAGTAGCTGGGACCGAGTAGGTGCCGGCCACAATGCCTGGCTATTTTTTTACAGATGGAGTCTCGCTCTAGCTCAGGCTGGTCTCAAACTTGTGAGTTCAGGCAATCCTTCCACCTTGGCCTCCCAAAGTGCTGGGATTACAGGTGTGTGCCACACTCGGCATAACACCTTTCAGTTTAATTTATGAAACTTTGAGACCCCCATCTCTAAATAACCCAGTGTTGTGGCAGGCACCTGTAGTCCCAGTTATTTGGGAGGCTGAGGCAAGAAGATCACTTGAACTCAAGTGTTTGAGGTTGCTGTAAGCTATAATGTCACAGCCCTCTACTGAAAGTGACAAAGTAAGACTCTGTCTCACAAAACAAAACAAAACTGGCTGGGCACAGTGGCTCATGCCTGTAACGCTACCACTTTGAGAGAACAAAATGGGAAGATTGAGGAGCCCAGGAGTTTGAAATCAGCCTAGGGAATAAGGAGACCCCATCTTACAATAAAAAAGAAAAAAATTAGCTAGGCATGAAGGTAAACACCTGTAGTTCCAGATATTCAGGAGGCTGAGACCACGAATTTGAGGCTGTAGGTCAGCTACAAAGATGCCTCATCAGTGAAGCCCAGGCAACAGAGCAAGACTGTCTCAAAAAAAAAAAAGTAAAAATTATCAGTTACTTAAGATGTCAGTTGGTCAAATTCCTTTTTGATTATCACAAAATGAATGCCTACTTACATGAACAAATAAAATGAAAATAAATTTTTAAAATGCCCAGAAGGGCATCCATCAAAATGGTACCTGGGGCTGTCTTTGGGTAGTAGGTGAGTTTTTCCCACTTGTGTTTTGTTTTCTTGTTAAACACACATTTGCATTATAATCAGAAAACAAAATTAGCGCCACTCGGAAAGTTAATATAAGAACTTCTAATGGACTATCATTTCCAATGTAATAACAGGAAAATTGGGGCAGGTATTGATATTTTTGCTGAACCTGGCTTATCTTCAGAATACAAATCACAGAAGTGTTTGTAAGGATTGTGTAGGATTACACATCTGTAATCCTAGCACTCTGGAAGGCCGAGGCAAGTAGATGGCTTCAGCTCAGGAGTTTGAGACCAACCGGAACAAGAACGAAACACCGTTTCTACTAGAAATAGGAAAACTTAGTTTCCTATTAGGAAACAATAGTTTCTACAGTGCCATGCACCTGTAGTCCCAGCTGCCTGGGAAGCCGAGGCATGAAGATTGCTTGAGCCCAAGAGTTTGAGGTTTCTGTGAGCTATGATGATGCCACAGCACTCAACCCCAGAGTGTTAGATTGAGACTCTATCTCAAAAAATAAAAGTAAAAAGATGGGTATAATTATTATGCACCTACAGCAGAAGGTAAACTGTAAGGAGATGAGTACATGGTAATAATATAAAATAAATATACACATATCCTATATATGCATTATATGTCACATATATACTATATACACAGAAATAGTTTTGGATGTATATGTGTGTGTGTGCATATATAGCCTAGCTTTATTTGTTGAAAAGGCCTAGAAGCACTGACATCTCCAGGAGCTACAAGTTCAGTGAGCACCTAGATCTTGCTTTCTAAATACTATGTTCCACTAAAAGGTTTCAGGGAGAAATATCTGGCTACAGACCTGAGGCGGGGCAAGTAAAAGATAAGTCTGGAACAGGTACCTGTTCCAGAAAGTAAGAAATGCTCTGTAAATTATGAGGACATGTCAAAGGACACAGAAACCAAGCTTTAGGGCCAGGTGCGGTGGCTCAACGCCTGTAATCCTAGCACTCTGGGAGGCCAGTCTGAACAAGAGCAAGACCCCATCTCTAAAAATAGCTGGATGCTGTGGTAGGCACCTGTAGTCCCAGCTACTTGGGAGGCTGAGGCAAGAGAATCACTTGAGCCCAAGAGTTTGAAGTTGTTGTGACCTACGATGCCATAGCATTCTACTGGGGACAGGAAAGTGAAGACTCTGTCTCCAAAAAAAAAAAAAAAAATTCAGGCAAATGGAATTCCAAAGAAAAGAGGGATTGCCATCTTATTTTCAGATAGAAATGGATTTAAAGCAACTAAAGTTAAGAAAGATTAAAAAAAAAAACAAAAAACAGAGGCTGGTCACAGTGGATCACTCTTGTAATCCTAGCACTCTGGGAGGCGAGGCAGATGGATTGCTTGAGCTCATGAGTTCGAGACCAGCCTGAGCAAAAAGCAAGACACTGTCTCTACTAAAAATAGAAAAACTGAGGCAAGAAGATGGCTTGAGCCCAAGAACTGGAGGTTATTGTGAGCTATAATGCCACGGCACTCTACCCAGGGCAATAGCTTGAGACTGTCTCCAAACAAAAACAAAACAAAACAAACAAACAAAAACAGACAGTCACTTAATACTGGTCAAAGGAACAAAACATCAAAAGGACATATCAAGGGTCAGGTGCTGTGGTTCACACCTATAATCCCAGTACTCTGGGAGGCTGAGGTGGGTGGATTGCTTTAGCTCACAAGTTCAAGACTAGCCTGAGCAAGAGCGAGAGCCATGTGCTGTGTCAGGTGTCTATAGTCCCAGGCACTTGGGAGGCTGAGGAAAGAGGATCTCTACTGCCCAAGAGTTTGAGGTTGCTATGAGCTATACCACCACGGTACTCTACTGGGGGCAAGAAAGTGAGACTCTGTCTCAAAAAAAAAAAGGTCAGTTTCAATTCTAAATATGTATGTACCCAAGTTAAATGCTCTCAGATTTATGATACAGACCTTGATTGGTCTGAACAATATGATATGCTATAACACCATTATAACTGGGAACTTTAATACCCCTCTGCAGAACTGGATAGATCCTCTAAACAGAAACTAAACATATACACAAGGGACTTAAATGTGACCCTAGAACAAATGGGCTTAATAGATACACACAGGACACACCATTCCAAAGCTAAGAAATATACATTCTTGTTATTAGCCAATGGAACATACTCCAAAATCAATCATATCCTAGGACACAAATCAAACATCAACAAAATGAAAAGAACTGACATTATACTTTGTATCTTCTCAGATCACAAAGCAATAAAGGTGAAACTCAACTCCCACAAAAATTTTTATCCTTTGGCAGTGCTCATAGCTCAGTAGGTAGGGTGCTGACCACATACATGGAGGCTGGCAGGTTCAAGCCCAGCCTGGGCCAGCTAAAACAATAATGACAACTGCAACGAAAAAAACAGCCGGGTATTGCGGCAGGCGCCTGTAGTGCCAGCTACTTGGGAGGCTGAGGCAAGAGAATCATTTAAGCTCAAGAGTTTGAGGTTGCTGTGAGCTAGGGCGTCATAATGAGACTCTGTCTCAAAAAAATTTTTTTTTCAATCCTCACACAAAGGCATGGAAATTAAACAACCTTATGGTGAATGACAGTTGGGTTAAGGAAGAAATAAAGGAGAAAATTATTAATTTACTCAAACAGCAATGAAGCTACAAGATACCAAAACCTGTGGGACACTGCAAAAGCAGTCCTAAGAGGGAAATTTATCGTATTAGACACCTACATTCAAAAACAGAAAGAAGGCACATTAATAACCTAATAAGTCATCTTTAAAAAATGGAAAAGAGCGATCCAATCCCGAACCCGGCAGAAGAAAAGAAATTTAATAAAATTAAATCAGAGATTAACGATATTTGAAAACAAAAGAATCATCCAGAAAATGAAACAAAAAGTTGGTTCTTGCAGTGGCTCACGCCTGTAATCCTAACACTCTGGGAGGCTGAGGCAGGTGGATTGCCTGAGCTCATGGGTTCAAGACCAGCCTGAGCAAGAACAAGACTCTGTCTCTGAAAATAGCTAGGTTTTGTGGCAGGTGCCTATAGACCCAGCTACTCAGGAGGCTGAGGCAAGAGAATCATTTGAGCCCAAGAGTTTGAGGTTGCTGTGGGCTATGATACCAGGGCACTCTACCGAGGGCAAGAAACCAAGACCCTGGCTCAGCACCTGTGGCTCAAGTGGCTAAGGCGCTGGCCACATACACCTAAGGTGGTGGGTTCAAATCCAGCCCGGGCCACCAAACAGCAATGATGGCTGCAACCAAAAAAATAGCCAGGCATTGTGGTGGGCACCTATGGTCTCAGCTACTTGGAAGGCTGAGGCAGGAGACTTGCTTGAGCCCAGGAGTTGGAGGTTGCTGTGAGCTGCGATGCCACGGCACTCTACCCAGGGGGACAGCTTGAGTCTCTGTCTCAAAAGAAAAGAAACCAAGACCCTGTCTCAAAAATAAATAAATAAATAAATAAATAAATAAAAATAGCTAGGCATTGTGACAGGCCCCTGTAGTCCCAGCTACTTGGGAGCCTAAGACAAGAAAATCACTTAAACCCAAGAGTTTGAGGTTGTTGTAAGCTAAGATGCCATGGCACTCTACCATGGGTTACAAAATAAGACTGTTTCAAAAAAAAAAAAAAAAGTTGATTCTTCAAAAAGATAAGTAAAATAGATAAACCTTTAGTTAGATCAACTAGAAACAAAAAAAAACTCTAATAATCCCAATCAGAAATCAAAAAGGGGAAATAAGAGATACCACAGAGATACAAGAGATTATCACTGACTCCTACAAGAATGTCTGCACCTAGAAATTTGACAATGTGGAACAAAAACTGGAATCGTACTATATCTCTAGATTTAATGAGGAAGAAATAGATCTCTTGAATAGACTAATATTAAGCACTGAAGGCTTGGCACCTGTGGCTCAAGCGGCTAAGGCACCAGCCACGTACACCTAAGGTGGCGGGTTCGAATCCCCAGTCTGGGCCCGCCAAACAACAATGACAGCTGCAACCAAAAAAAAATGGCCAGGCGTTGTGGCGGGCGCCTGTGGTCCCAGCTACTTGGGAGGCTGAGGCAGGAGACTCGCTTGAGCCCAGGAGTTGGAGGTTGCTGTGAGCGTGATGCCATGGCACTCTACCCAGGGGGATAGCTTGAGGCTCCGTCTCAAAAGAAAAAAAAAAAAATTAAGCACTGAAACTGAAAAAAAACAATAAAAATTCTTCTAACAGAAAAAGCCCTGGACAAGATGACTTCACACCAGAATTCTATCAAGCCTTCACAGATGGGCTTATACTGCTGCAGAACATATTCCCAAACACCGAGAAGGAAAGAATGTTCCCCATCATGTTCTATGAAGCAAGCATCACCCTGATAACCAAACCAGGAAAAGACCCAACTAAAAAGAACTACAGACCAATTTCACTTATGAATATAGATGCAAATATACTCAATACAATCTTAGCCAATAGATTACAGCTACACGTTAAAAAAAATCATATATCACGATCAAGGAGGCTTCATCCTAGGAATGCAAGGCTGGTTTAACATATGAAAACCCATAAATGTAATTCACCATATCAACAGATATGTAGCTGGAACTGTAGGGGCCTGCTACAAAAATAGAGATGTAGACCTAGATGTCTCTTATAGCCATCTGATCTTTGAGAAGCCATACAAAAGCAAACATTGGGGAAAAGAATCCTTATTCAATAAATGGTACTGGGAGAACTGGATAACCACATATAAAAGACTGAAACTGGATCTGCACCTTTCACCACTTATAATAATTGATTCAAGATGATAAAATATTTAAATCTAAGACATGAAATGATAAAAATCCTAGAAGTGTGGAAAAAACTCTTGAGGATGTCAGCCAGGGGAAAGCTTTTATGAAGAAGATTTCAGTGGCAATTGCAAAAACAACAAAAATAAATAAATAGGACTTAATTAAACTGAAAAGCTTCTACATGGCTAAAGACACGCTAATTAAAGCAAATAGACAAACTTCAGAATGGGAACAGATATTTACACATTACAAATTTGACAAAGGCTTAATAACTAGGATCTAGAAAGAATTCAAATTAATCAACAAAAAAAGAGCAAACAATCCCATTTATCACTGGGCAAGAGACATTAACAGAACCTTCTCAGAGGAAGACAGATGAATGGCTAACAAACACATGAAAAAATGCTAATCATCCTTCATCATCAGAGAAATGCAAATCAAACCACCCTGAGATATCACTTAACTCCAAGTGAGAAGAGCCCACATCACAAAGTCTCAGAATTGCAGATGCTGGGCAGGTGTGGAGAGAGATGAACACTTCTACTCTTGTTAGTGGGACTGCAAACTAATATAGCCTCTTTGGAAAGATGTATGGCTGGGTGCAGTGGCTATAATCCTAGCACTCTGGGAGGCCAGGGAGGATGATTTCCTGAGCTCAGGAGTTCGAGACCAGCCTGAGCAAAGTGAGACCCTGGCTCTACTAAACATAGGAAAACTAGCCAAGCATTGTGGCAGGTGCCTGTAGTTCTAGCTATTCAGGAGGCTGAGACAAGAAGATTGCTTAAATCCAGGAGTTTGAGATTGCTGTGAGCTAGGATGCCACAGCACCCTACCCAGGGTGACTGAGTAAGACTTTGTCTCAATTAAAAAAGAAAGAAGTATGGAGAATCCTGAAAGAACTCAAATTAGATCTCCCATTTGACCCTCTACTCTCATTGCTAGGCATCTACCCAGATGAAAAAAATCATTTTATTATAAAGACATGTGCACTAGATTGTTTATTGTAGCTGAATTTACACTTATCAGGATGTAGAAACAACCTATGTATAGCACGGAGTACCATTCAGCCGTAAGAAAAGATGGTGACTTTACATTTTTTACATTACCTGCAGTTGAAACACATTCTTCTTAGTAAAGCATCACAAGAATGGGAAAGCAAATATCCAATGTACTCGATTTTATTATGAAGCCAGTAGATGATCTAATACACAGCCACACAGAGAAAACCTTAATTCAAGTTTGGGGGGGAGGTAATTCAAGTTTAGGACAGGAGGTGGGGGAGGTGGGGGGGGTGGGTATGTGGATTGACGTGCTCCAACTTAATGGGCACAATGTAGGGGATGTAGGGGTGTATGACACACCTTTTAGATGTAGGACACAATTACAAAGGGGACTCTACATAACAAATTTGAATATTGTGACCTGGTGTTTGTACCCTCACATTAACCTGAAATCAAAAACAAAACAAAACAAAAAGCTTCAAATGACAATTTACATGCGTTCTCCCCAAAGTAAATGAATAAATACAAAATACATTCAATAAAACATTCTGGCATTTTAAAATTTGTATTGGACTGACCTTCTTTCATCAAAACCAAGGATAGGATCAACTGGTTTTTGTTCCTTTCTGGCAAGAAATAAAGGAGCAACTTTCACTTTTCCTTAGGAAAAAAAAATATTTTAGTTAGTATCAATGTTTACCATCTCCATTTAAATTCATCTACTTTCATGGTACTTCTTAAACTTTCAAAAATTTAACTTTGTGGGTGGCACCCATAGCTCAGTGGCTAGGGCTCCAGGCACATACACCCAGGGTGGTGGGTTCCAAACAGCCCAGGCCAGCTAAACGATGACAATTGCAACAAAAAAATAGCCAGGTGTTGTGGCGGGCACCTGCCATCCCAGCTACTTGTGAGGCTGAGGCAAGAGAATCACTTAAACCCAACAGTTTGAGGTTGCTGTGAGCTGTGATGTCACTGCACTCTACTGTGGGCGACATAGTGAGACTCTGTCTCAAAAAAAAAAAAAATTAACTTTGTCTTAGAAAAAAAAAATTTAACTTTGTGGCTGGGCACAGGGGCTCACACCTTTACTCCTAGCATTCTTGGAGGCTGGGGCTGGAGGACTGCTTGAGCTCAGTAGTTCAAGACCAGCTTGAGCAAGAGCAAGATCCTATCTCTACTAAAAATAGAAAAATAGCCAGGTTTTGTGGCAGGTGCCTATACAGTCCCAGCTACTTGGAAGGCTGAGGCAAGAGGATGACTTGAACCCAGGAGGCTAAGGTTGCTGTAAAGTAGGCTGAGGCCATGGCACTCTACCCTAGGGCAACAGAGTGAGAATGTGTCTCAAAAAAAAATTTTTTTTAACTTTTTAATTTATTTTAATTAAAAAAAAATTATATGCAGGGCACAGTGGCTCACATCTATAATCCAGGCAACCTGGAAGGCTAAGCTAGGAGGATTGCTTGAACACAGGTGTTCAAGGCTGCAGTTAGCTATGATGGAGCCATTATACTCCAGACTAGATAAGAGTGAAACTTCATGTCTCAAAAAAAGTTAAAAAAAATTTTTTTTATATAATGATCTGTTTCTGTAACCTGGCAATATCAGACTCCCCCAGTGAACTTTTTTTTTTAAACTACAGAATCAGACAACCCACTTTGGAAGATTTGTATTCATTATGTCTAGGGAAGAACCTAAAGATATTTGAAATGTTTTAATTTATCCAGATGTTTTTTGTGATCAGTCAGGTATAGGAACTACCAACTTAACTAACAATAAAAAGATACACAGAAATGCAATAAATTAAAATATATTAAATTTCCCTCTGAAAAACTCGTCAGTACATCATTTTACTTATTAAAATAGAAACAACACAATTAAAATTTTACATTTTATAAGAGATTAGATTTGCAGAATGAACACATTCAGAACAATCCCCCAAAACATTATACTAGTCATCATAGACATCAAATTTGATTACCTGGTACATTTTTAGTGGACTTGCTAAGTTTTTTCCCTAGCACATCATTCAAACACTGAAGTTTCTTCTGATTTTTCTCTGGATGCCTTAAAGAAGTATGACTTGAACCTACTATTATTACAGAGTCCTAAGACAAAATGAAAAAAAAGTTTAAACATATAATTACTGCCATTAAAATTTCCAAATAATGCCAGTGTGATGGCATTAACCAAGCCTACAATCCTAGCACTCTGGGAGGCCAGGGCAGGTGGATTGCCTGTGCTCACAGGTTTGAGACCAGCCTGAGCCAGAAAGAGACTTTGTCTCTAAAAATAGCCTGGCGTTGTGGCGGGCACCTGTAGTCCCAGCTACTTGGGAGACTGAGGCAAGAGAACTGCTTGAGCCCAAGAGTTGAAGGTTGCTGTAAGCTATGATGCCACAGCACTCTAATAACAGAGACAAAGTGAAACTCTGTCTCAAAAAAAAAAAAATCCAAATAATTGGAATTATTTTGACAGAAACCATAACAAGACGCCATCTCTAGAAAAAACTTCAAAGAACAGCCAGGCATGGTAGCCGACTTCTGTAGTCCCACTGAAAACAGTGAAAGCTGCACCATTTGGGAAGACATGAATAGTGTTACTGGCGGCGCCTGTAGGTCAGTGAGTAGGGCACTGGCCATATACACCAAGGCTGGCAGGTTTGAACCTGGCCTGGCCAGCTAAACGATAATGACAACTGCAACAAAAAACCACCGGGCACTGTAGCAGGTGCCTGTACTCCCACCTACTTGGGAGGCTGAGGCAAGAGAATCACTTAAGCCTGAGAGTTTGAGGTTGCTATGAGCTGTGACATCACAGCACTCTACTGAGGGTGACAACTTGAGACTCTTTCTCAAAAAAAAAAAAAAAAAAAAAATACATATATAGTGCTACTGGAGCAAAGAGTTATTTTGAGGAAAGGGAGAAGCTAGTTCAGCCTATGGAGAATCCTGAGTTACCTGAGAAAGATTTGGACTGTATTCTGTTGGCAAGAGGAGAAATGAAAATGATATTCCTTCTACCACTTTGAGGGTATCAAAGCTACCTTGTTACTTTATTGTAATGTTGTCCTTCTCCCACTCCAAACAGCAAAACAGGACAGAATTTTTACCAATAGATATTTGGTAATACTTACTTCTACTTCTGAGAATTTCTGCCTTTCAGGAAGTGTCTGATGTCTAGAGGAACGCCTTAAAGGTTTCACTACTTCTTCAGGTGCCTTTGACCTACTGATGTGTAAAGTTTTTGCTTTTTCAACCAATTGTTTTGCTTTTGATATATTTTTTGAAGCATTGCTTGCCTAGAGAAATATTTGAAATATTAATTTAGATCACTGGAATATGTTTTATATTAGCAGAAAAATATATTAATATATAATAGGAAAAAATGCAACCACAAATCACATTAAGTAAGCAACAAAGTTCTGGCAGTCTTACTGATCACAAACAAAAAAGAATTTAAAAAATGTTAAAAACAAAGACATGGTTACTCAAATCTTACCAGGGATTTAAAACTAAAATACGTCTAGTTATAATTGGTTTCCCTTTGTTTCTTACTTGAAATTATGCGAACAAATATATTTAAACATGTGCAAAACACCTAGAAGAATATCTGTAGTATAGATTTAGCAATCTATTTTTTTAATCTGGTCTCCAAATTCAGGCAAAGAACTTTCCAAACACAGTTATTCAGCCTACTATTACAAGGCTCTGGGTTGGATACTATAAAGGACAAATATTACAATATGTGGATCTTGGCCTCAAGGTACTTACACAAGATAGAGAAGAAAGAGTAAGAACAGACAGTACAGTTACATAGTATACAATGACATTAATATTGTGTGTGTATATACATCACACACACATACATATATACTGCAGAGAAAGAAAGAGAAAGAATGGCACCTACAAGGTAAATAAAAATATGTAGTAGTTTAACAGTTGAAGCCAGGCAAGGTGGCTCATGCTTATAATCCTAGCACTCTAAGAGCCTGAGGTAGGTGGATTCCTTGATCTCAGGAGTTCAAGAGCAACCTGAGCAAAACTGAGGCCTCATCTCTATTAAAAGTAGAAAAAAAAAACTTAGCCAGGCATTGTGGAGGGCACCTTCTGTAGTCCCAGCTTCTTGAGAGGCTGAGGAAGGAGGATTGCTTGAGCCCAGGAGTTTGAGGTTTCCGTGAGCTAGGCTGATACCACAGCACTCTAGTCTGGGGAACACAGTGAGTCTCTGACTTAAAAAATTAACCAAAAACATTTAAGAATATTTTATGCTGAATCTTTTGGAGTGAAGCTGAAAGGGTATTATGGTATGGAAAGAGAAGTACATAAGAATAAAGACATAAAGGCCTTCAAGCCTACCTCTGCCGTGGATGCACAATGTGACCACGGGCATTTAAATATATTATCTTCTTTTTTTTTTTCTTTTTTGACAGAAAGTATCACTTTGTCACCCTTGGTAGAGTGCCATGGCATCATATCTCACAGCAACCTCAAATTCTTGGGTTCTAGCAATTCTCTTGCCTTAGCCCCCAGAGTAGCTGGGACTTAAAATATTATCTTGAAGAGAAAGTGCTTTCTATATTCTGAGTTCTCCAGGATTTTATGGTGGAATTAAAAACACACATAGCAAGATGCAAAACAGTTTACTTTATTGGATAATATAGGGCTGGTGTGGTGGCTCACACCTGTAATCCTAGCATTCTGGGAGGCAGAAGCAGGCGGGTCCCTTGAATTGAGGAGTTAGAGACCACCCTGATCAAAGGGAGATCCATTCCCTACTAAAAATAGAAAAATTAGCTGTACATAGATTGGTGCCTGTAGCACAGTGGTTAGGGCACTGGCCACATACACTGGGGCTGGTGGGTTTGAAGGTGGACCAGGCCTGCTAAACAACGACAATTACAACAAAAAAACAGCTGGGTAAAAGAGCCAAAGGAAGGAAGTTGACGTCCATGGTTATTTTACTTATTTATTTTTGGCTTGTCCCAAAGAGGTAAAGAAGCTGATATGCAGATACGGAGTGTGCAATAAGGTTGTTTCTTAGCAAATCATGAATTAAAGAGTAAAAGTAGTTGCACACAAAGCTGATCTAGGATTAAAAGGTACAGTGAATACAAGGTTATGGCTCACAAGACCACCGCCATCAACGCCAGCACAAAGACCTGGCCATGGAGGTGACCACGAGCAGAATCACGATGACCAGAATTTAGGGCATTACCAAGAAAAGCAGTGAAGCTAGGGAAATGTATTCAAGTTCAGAACAAGCCCTTCTTCCTCATGGGTCCCAACTCACAGAACCTCCTGTCCCACCCCCTTCTCCAGCTGAGCAGTCCGTGAGCTCCTGAATGTGTAAAACTTCACTTACTTTGAAGTGGACTCTCACAGAATTGCAGAAAATGGTCTCAATGGCATTGATGTTCTTCAGGTTGCCTTAGAAGACTATCTTAGAATATCTTTGTAATTTCTTATTTTTCTTCTAGAACCCCTGTTAAACATTATTTATTTATTTTCACTAATGCACTTGGCTTAAAAAACTAAAAATTGCAGCTTGGCACCTGTGGCTCAAGTGGCTAAGGCGCCAGCCATGTACACCCAAGGTGGCGGGTTCGAATCCAGCCCGGACCCGCCAAACAACAATGACGGCTGCAACCAAAAAAAAAATAGCCGGGCGTTGTGGCGGGCACCTGTGGTCCCAGCTACTTGGGAGGCAGAGGCAGAAGACTCGCTTGAGCCCAGTAGTTGGAGGTTGCTGTGAGCTGTAATGCCACGGCACTCTACCCAGGGGGATAGCTTGAGGCTCTGTCTCAAAAAAAAAAAAAAAAAACCTAAAAATTGCTCTAAGTCTTTGATAAAAAAAAAAAAAGAATTCAAAGACAAAATCACCAAAGATTTTGACACACTGAGACAAGAATTTGCAGCCCTCAGTGATCTGAGAAATATAGTAGAATCCCTCAGTAACAGAATGGAGCAAGCAGAAGAAAGGATTTCTGATATTGAAGACAAAGCTTTTGAACGCTTCTAAGCACTAAGAGGAAGGGAAATGGAGAGCAAAAACAGATCATTCTCTCAGAGAGCTCTGGGATAATTTGAAGAAAACTAATATTCGCCTTATGAGAATCCCTGAAGGTGACGAAGTTGCTTCACAAAGCACAGAGGCCCTTTTTCATGAGATTATTAAGGAGTACTTTCTAGACATCCAAGAGATTCTGAAATGCAGACAGCAGACAGTTTCAGAACCCCAGCACAACTCAACCCAAATAAGACAACCCCCAGACACGTCATAATTAACTTCACTAAAGTTAATATGAAGGAAAAAATTCTGAAAGCAGCCAAATGAAAGAAAACCATAACCTACAAGGGGAAGAATATTAGAATGACTGCAGCCCTCTCTACTGAAACCTTTCAAGCTAGAAGAGAGTGGTCATCAACTTTTAATCTCCTAAAACAAAATAACTTTCAACCCAGGATCCTGGATCCAGCTAAACTGACTTTCATTTATGATGGAGAAATTAAATACTTTAATGACATTCACATGTCAAAGAAATTTGCCATAACTAAACCAGCTCTCCAGGATATTCTCAGACCTATCCTCCATAATGACTAGCATAACCCTCCACCACAAAAGTAACCTCACTCAGAAACTTTTGATCAAATTCCAACTTCCACAGTGGCAAAAAGATTAAAAATGTTCACTGGACTTTCAAAAAACTCAATACCCAAAATTCTACAAAGCTTGTCAATATTCTCAATTAATGTGAATGGCTTTGTCCTCTAAAGAGGCACAGGTTGGCTGACTGGATACAAAAACTCAGGTCAGATGTCTTCTGCATACAAGAATCTCATCTTACCATAAAAGATAAATATAAACTCAGGGTGAAGGGATAGTCATCTATATTTCAGACAAATGGAAATCAGAAAAAAGCAGGTGTTACAATTTTATTCACAGATACAATAGGCTTTAAACCAACAAAAGTAAGGAAAGATAAGGATGGTCACTTCATATTTGTTAAGAGTAATACTCAATATGATGAGATTTCAATTATTAATATTTATACACCTCAATGTATAAGAGACAGTCTAACAGACATGAGCAACTTGATTTCCTCCAGCACCATAGTTGTCAGAGATTTTAATACTACTTTGGCAGTGTTGGATAGATCGCCTAATAAGAAGCTAAGCAAAAAAATTTTAGATTTAAATTTAACCATTCAACATTTGGATTTCACAGACATCTACAGAACATTTCATCCTAACAAAACTGAATACACATTCTTCTTATCAGCCCAAGGAACATACTCCAAAATTGAGTACATGTTAGGGCACAAGTCTAACATCAGCAAATTTAAAAGAATAGAAATTATTCCTTGCATCTTCTCAGACCATCATGGAATAAAAGTTGAACTCAGTAACAACAAGAATCTGCATGCTCATACAAAAACATGGAAGCTAAATAACTTTTTGCTGAATGATAGCTGGGTCAGAGATGAGATTAAGAAGGAAATTACCAAATTTTTGGAACAAAACGATAATGAAGACATGAATTATCAGAACCTCTGGGATACTGCCAAGGCAGCCCTAAGAGTGAAATTTATAGCACCGCAAGCCTTCCTCAAGAGAACAGAAAGAGAGGAAGTTAACAACTTAATGGGACATCTCAAGCAACTGGAAAAGGAAGAACATTCCAATCACAAACCCAATAGAAAAAAAGAAATAACCAAAATTAGAGCAGAATTAAATGACATTGAAAACAAAAGAATTATACAACAGATCAATAAATTAAAAAGTTGGTTTTTTGAAAAGGACAATAAAATAGATAAACCTTTGGCTAATTTAACCAGGAAAAAAAGAGTAAAATCTCTAATTTCATCAATCAGAAATGGTAATGATGAAATAACAACAGACTCCTCAGAAATTAAAAAAATCCTTAATGAATATTACAAGAAACTTTTTTCTCAGAAATATGAAAATCTGAAGGAAACTGACCAATACTTGGTAACACACCACCTTCCAAGAATTAGCCAGAATCAAGTAGAAATGTTGAATAGGCCTATATAAAGTTCTAAAACACCATCAACTGTACAAAATGTCCCTAAAAAGAAAAGCCTGGGACCAGAGGCTTTACAACAGAATTCTACCAAACCTTTAAAGAGGAAATAGTACCTATATTACTCAACCTTTTCCAAAATATAGAAAATAAAGGAATACCTAAAATATAGAAAAAGAATGAATACTACCCAACACATTCTATGAAGCAAACATCACCTTAATCCCCAAACCATGAAAAGACCCAACAAAAAAAGAA